GATTGTAACTATTGAAACCAGAACTCCGAAGAAAGCAAGGATGGAGTGAGTTCTGACCAGCATTCCTATAGGCTAAGATTTAAATTCAAGATTATAGTATGAGTACTCTAAATCTCTAAATAAATATAATGAGAATTTCTTCACAGAGGTACTGAATTCAGTTATAACTTAAGGCTAAAAAGAAATAGTCAATACTTGTACACTTATTGAAAATTCAGCCTTGGAACCGAATATGCTCACTCTATCAATACCTTTTTAACTATTTCTATACTATAATATTAGTTTTAAAATTTCAAAGATTGAATAGCTTTTAAATATACTATAATCAGTATAATAAACACTTACCACCAGCTAAAACTTAGCTATATGCATCCCGTTCTGGAAATATATAATAATAGCAGATCATAAGTGTGAGGAAAATGGAGTCAGTATAGTCAGGCACCCTCGCCTTATATCCGGCTGGGTATGATTCAGCACATCCATTGTAAACAAGTTATCTAAGAATGGTGTAACTGCACAGGTGTGCCCATGTACTCCTTGGCTCATTGCTGCTGTTGTGAATGTTAGGTATAAAAAGCACTGGCTCTGAACGGCTGGCTGGCAGAGCTCGCATTGGAATAAAGCATGTCTATCCTGTTATCAGCCTCCAGAATGTTTTTTCAACTATCTGACTCACGACCTGCACAGGACAGGGCAGAGAGGTCTGTGACTCAGCCCAACGACAAGTTCCATAGAACAAACAAATTCTTCAGCCTTTGTGCATAAGGTGTGTTGTTTGTCAATCTTAATGTGCTCCTAGGAATGTACAAAGAAAGACTGAAAATCTGGAACACAGTCTGTTGGTTGGATTTCCACAGCAAAACTGAAAAGAATATAGAAATGAAATGTTAAGAAGCTCAGTCACAACCTCTGCAGTGTAAGCTAAAGGCTTAGCAAAAAGAACATCAAATTTAGCTGTCTATAGCCTGCTGAATAACTCCTCATTCATTACAGCTCTGCCACTCACGCTTTTGGAAAAATGCTTCTCCACTTCTGCCAGTTTTATTTGCATGTCCCACCATGAAAGTTTTGGCAGTCCAAAAGATGTTGTAAAGAGAAAGTTATTGAGCTCTTACATGAGAGTTTTATAGCTATTGAAAGTTGGAGGACCTGCACATTAAAGGAAATCTTATTATCATCAAGCAGAAGGCTTGGTGAAGGTGCCAGGATGGTTATTGCATGCTCATGAAGCTGGGATTTTTTTCAGAATAACTTTTAGACTAATGCAGTGATTAAAATCCATTGGTCACAGAAGTACTTTTTAAGTTCTTCCTGAGTCAAAAAACAAAAAACAAAAAAAAAAAACAAAGATGCAGCACAAAAAGGACACAGAAGACTTTCATTGTCTCCATGACTTATTATTGCTTTAACTAAACCCGGGTTAAAGCAAGCACAAGAAGCTCACAACCCAGGATAATCCTAAGTGTTTTCATGCTTCAGTCTGTCATCCAGTTGATAGTGAGTGGGGCTGAACTTTGGACACTCTCCCTACCCCAAAGATCGAAATTGACCATTGCTGCTCTAGTACAAAAGATCAACAAAATTGAGCAATGTAGCTCAAACTACATAAAAGTTTTCTAAAAGCTACTTTTAGGAAATACTAATTCAAGCCCTTAAAATTAAACACAACTCAAAGTAATTTCTTAATGAGTCTAAGAAAGTCCATCATCATGCCTTACCTGTATAAAAAGCATGATTTGGATTCTTTTCTTTAGATTCATTTGAGTGTTCATTTGAGCAGAATATTTTCTCTCACTGTTGTATTTCTCTTAATGTTGAGGTGATGAAAAATAGTATACTTTGAAAAAACATACTCCATTACTGTTTTCTTTTTTTTGTCAAAATGTATAATTTATTTTGAAATTTTTTGGTGGTGGTTTGACCTAAGTTGTGTGCACAACACCCGAGGTTAATATGTTGGATTCTAACTTCCAGTATCTTTGAATATGACTGTATTTGAAGATAGGACTTTCAAATAGGAAATTAAGGTAAAATGAGGTCATATAGGGCCCACACTGAATGGAGATAAGGACATAGGCCTGCAGAAGGGAGACCATGTGAAGACACTGGATAAAGACAACCATGTACAAGCCAACGAAAGAGGCCTTAGAGAAAACCACCCCTGCTAATGACAGCTTGATCTCAGATTTCTAGCTTCCAGAATGGTGAAGAAATAAATTTCTGTTGTTTAAGCCACCTAGCCTGTGGTGCATTGTTATGGCGGATCTAGCAAAGTAATAGAGTAGTATGTAGGAATGCATTTAAATTTTGAATGTTAATTTTGTATTTGAAGTGAACTTTGAGAGTATCAGGTGTGTATTAAGGCATGAAATGAGGATTATGCACCATTTGGAAGATAATACACAAATAAGTTAGATATAGTGTCAAACATGGTCATTTTAGAAAAGACCATCAATAATTCCATGCAAACTCTGTTTATTTTCTGGAAATTCCTTTTCATATTGGATAGTTGCATCTCAGCTTCTCTTTGTTTTCCCAAATTTATAATAGTAATAATCACTACTTCAAATTTATAAATATATTAGTTTTCTTAGTAATAGAAAAAATACATTTTTTAGAATGTAGGAATATAAAGCTAAGTCTTTAAGATTAATCACTTTTTGCCAACACAAACACCAGAGTTCAGAGTGGGTGAGCAAGTAGAAGGTAAAAAGCATAGAGAGTTAAATAATTTAGAAATAAAAAGAGGCTAGATGGTGGACACACAATCTTCAAGGAAGTGTTTATTTCTGAAGTTTAAGGTAATTTAAACTAGATAATATGACAAGAATATTTCAAGTTTTTCTATATGTTATACATCCCAAAGTTAAAAATAACCAAGTTCCCTGCTTATCTAGACCTTGTTTCCCTTGCTGTACTGTACATTAAAATCACCTGGAGATCTTTTAAATGTACAAAATCTTGGCTCAATGACAGAAATTCTGTTTTTAGTGGTATGAGAAATGGACATTGCATTTTTAAAAGCTCCCAAGATGGTTTTAAAGTGTAGCAAAACTTGGGAGTCACTGTCTTAATCAATTTGATACACAAAAAATCCAATATTACTTACATCAGAAATGTAAATCTTCTTGCCATCTCCTCTGATAACACATGTAAGTATTAATATCCTGTTTCTCACTGTTCTATCTGCTATGAGTTTTAGAATTCTATGTTGGGAGTTTGTCACAGAGAGGGGAGAGCAAACCTGGGCCAGTTCCTGGTGGTAGAGCTGGTGGTCAGGATGAACACACCACAGCCACAAGGCAGGTTGGATTCTGCTTGCGGCTGATCGTAAAACGCAATGCCAGGGTGAAAAAGAAGGAGGGTTCTTATGAGCAGTAGCTCTTGAGTGGCAGCTATTCTATGTGCGATGGGTGGCCAGCCTAAAGGCCCAGAGAGATTCTTAAAGTGCTATCCGCTTCAGCTTCAGGGACAGCTGACCACCTATCACAGCATCTTAGCCAATCAATGCATTTATTTACAGAGAAAAGACCAGGCTTAAAACAAACATAAACAGCTCTTCCCAGATTACAGTAAAGTTGTAAAAGTCAAAACGTACATCAGTATGAAAACCTCAAAAAATTTTAAACTCATTACAAATAAATCTATTTGCATTTAATCATATACACAAAGTAGAAGAAATACATTTTGCCTTTCTATAATTATTTTAAAATTAAAATTAATTTCTAAATGTACTTTAATAGAATATATAAGAATTTCAAGAGTTTCAGTAAACCAAATGAGGCAATTTATCTCTTTAATAAATCAATTACTAAAATGAAAACTTTAGTAGAGATGTCACAAGGATTATAAGAGAGTACACAAAATAAAAGCTTAATGTATTTGTTAATGTAAAGGTGATTAAAATATAAATATTTAGTTTAATATAGACCTTAACATGGCTAAATATTTATGATATTATTTGTCAAATAGGTCTTCTAATATCTTACATTCTTAGCATATATGCAATTATTTGATTAATTTATATTTCTTGAAGATAGAGACTAAAAACAATAAAATAATCTTATTTTCAGAGTAAATATCCCTTTATTTTCTTGTGGTAAGTTATACTTCTGATTATAAATAGAGATTACAGATTATGAATGTTAGTAATTTTAAAATATAATAAATCAACATTTAAAGAAAGTTTATCAAGTGCGCTGTCAAAAGTTTTGTAAAATTAGTAAATTTTTTTTCTGTAGTTCTTATGTTTACTTTTCCCCAATTAATCTGTTCACCTTGAACATATTGCTGACATGTTCTCTCCCTGAGAAAAGATTGGTTTCCTTCATTGTTTGAAGGCATTAGTGGAAACTGCCCCTTGCACATAGAGGACACACAAGAAATATGAGTTGACTAAAGGCAGAAATGCAGGCTATGATTGTGTAGATGAGCTCTGTGGAAATATAGTAAACCATTTCTTAGTGTAATGTCCTATCACTGTTATTATCAATTTATGTTCTAAATAGTAAAGTCGGGCATGTGGAAGAGCTCATTTTTACTGAAAAAGGGAATCATTATGTTTCTCACAAACTATCTCCTAGAATACTTCCCTGATTTGTATGTTCTACTGCATCTTATGAATTTTATTCTTTTGAATTCCCTACATCCATTGAAGTTAGCTCATATTTGCTCAATCTCCAGGAACCAGCATACTGTAAGTCAGCATAGCACTTAAGGTTAAAAAAATAGTGGTGTCAAGAATAGAACATTTTAGAGTTATTAATGTCCCTTAGTCTGTAAAGTGAGAGAAGAGGGTAAAGCCAACTAGGAAAAGACAAAGAAAGAATAAGGCATGCTCACTAGATAATGATCCATTGAATTCTAGGCTTTATAGCAAGGCTAAAGTAGAAGAATGGGAAATCTGAAAACAGGAAGAAGCTGATGTGTTCTAATTAAGCTCTTGGTAGCTGGAATTAATAGGATTGTCCCACTCAGGACTTTGCCAAACTTGAAAGGATCTATTCCCTTTTTGTCTTTATTCTTGTTTTACCAAGTTTTTGACAGGTAAATAAACAACATTTTGTGACTAAGAATATAGAAATTGCCACACAGGCCATCAGGAACCCAATCACATCCAAGGAGTGGTACTGGACCCAGGTGAGGTCATGGATAGCTGGACGCAGGTGCTTGGCTCCTTTGTGGCGCATGACATACTCGATCCAGAAGATTGCTCTATCCAGGGGCTTTACAGGTTGATCATGGTGAATTTTTGATAACCTCATAGCGTTCTCTTTATAACTAGAAGGCAAAAACACAGACAGAGAGTTTCTGTTTTTACAAAAGATAAGTATGTGAAACATGGTGAACATTATGCAAGCCAAAAACTTGTTGAGGAAAAGATCAATTCTTGCTGTGACATGACTTTTGTTGGTTGCATAGCATGTAACAGACATAGTGGAGAGATTGAAAACAAGATATATTCTTAAAAGAGTGTGGTGAAATGAAGATAAAGAAACAACTTAGTAAACTGGTTGTTGATTTAAGCCTAATTTTTCCAAGAAGGAAGTCTGACACTGTATGATCTATAATTTCCAGGACTATTCCAAGACCAAGATGAGGAATGACCCAAGATTGTGGAAAAAGAGCCCTTAAAGTCCATAAGCACAGTCACTAACATTTTTCTGGTATGATAAATAACATAATCAATGGTAGGTAAGCCTTTAGAAGCATTAGTACTTACGAAGGATCATTAATAACTGTTCTCAAAGCCCGGAGCAAATCCGCATGTGTCATTGTGTTGAAACTTATTTCCACAGCTGCTCCTTTGGCCTTCATGTGAGCGATGTTATCTGGCTGATCACCAAACATAGGAATTCCCACCATAGGAACCCCATGATAAATAGCTTCATAGACCCCATTCATTCCACCATGAGTGATAAAAGCTTTAGTTTTTGGATGACCTAGTTTGTAAATTGAATGAGAAATGGGTGCGAGTTTTATTATAATATATAAAAGAATTTCAGAGATGGAAGGGAAAAAAACTATGACATAACTCACTGAAGAAGGTATCATCTTCTACAAATGATGAATGAATGGAGCATTGCTACCACAGAAAGTAGCTATCTTAGGAAAAGGAGGCATTAATTCTTTCTACATTGTCTAAAACTCTTACATGAACAACAGGAAATGTGAATCTATAAAATAAAGGGTCAATGTTTTAATTATATTTGCTTTAAAATTGGAGGTAACATAATAAACTTCTATGATTGTTAAATATTTGTTGACTTTGTTAACTGTTAAGCAGTTATTCAATTTGTCCCCATCCAATTGCATATTGTTCTCATATTCTTACCAAGAAGATCATTTTGGGGTATCCAGTCATAGAGCCGAGTATTGGCTCCTAGGGTGGCTGGTTTCTTACCCTTGTATCTCCATAAAACCTGTGGAAGAAAATGCATGTATTTCTTAAATAAAACAACAGGACAATTGTATTTTAAGGCTACACAGGTATTTATAAATCATACATCTCACTTTACTTCAGGTTATAATTGACAGAGAAGTTTATAGGGGTACTTTGTAAACACTGAAAGAAATAGTCAGACTATCTACAGCCACCTGTTTAAAAGGGCTTGTAATAGTCACTTATTAAGTATACTATTAACATTTTGTATATTATCAATTAAAAGCATCTGGGAGTGATATTATTAAGTGAAAAATTAGAAAATAATGAAGGACTGTTGAATCAATCAGTGTATGGGAGTTGAAAATTATTATGGATACATGACCTCTGTATAAATTTAAGTTCCTGGGCCATTGTAACTCTATATTCAAATTTAAAGTTCTTAACAAACATAATTTGCTTTAAATTTTGTTTGTTTGTTTTTGGATGATTAGTTATATTTTTTTCCTTTGTTATTTCTGCCCCTTTCTTTCTTTTTTAAAATTTTCTTTCAGGGAAGAATGAGTGGGTTTTTTATATTACTTTTTATTTTCCAGTAAAACTTTATTTATGAACACTAAAATTTGAACTTCATATTATTTTCACACATCATGAAATATTGCTTTTCTTCTGATTTTTTCTAATTACTTACAAATGTGAAAACCATTCTTAGTTTATGGGCCATATAGCCGGCCAGCTGGATTTGACACATGGCCCATAGTTTGCCAACCCTTGGTCTGTGCCAACACACCCATAAAGGAACTTGGCAGCTGGCATTCTCTCCATAGACTAATACTGATAGTAACAGCTGCCATTTTGAACACTTATTCTGTGGCAAATACTATGCAAGTGGTTGGTCAATTTATTATCATTTATCCTTCATACAGTCATGCAAGTTAGTATACCAGCCCCACTTTACAAATAATGAAAACAGTGCTCTGGGAATGATAACCTGCCTAAATCCCAAATTTAGTCAGGTTAGGAGGTCCTCACCTGTCTACAAAGCATGTGCTCTTTACCATTGTAAAGCTCCCTACTCTGGCCCTCCACCATATGAATATATTTCTTGGTCTCTAATCCCTTCACTCTACCTACACACCCACCTATCTCTTCCCATTTTTTAAAAAAAATTAATTTAATTTAATTTTATCAATATACAATGTAGTTGATTTTTGTGTCCCTTTACTGAATCCTCCCTTCCCCCCCTCCTCCATCAGTATCATTATCTGTTCTCTTGTCTTAACAAGTAAAAAGAATTGTGATAGTTCTGTCTTCTTCCCCACACCCCCAATTTTTGGTGTATTTATTTATTTTTAGCTCCCTCAAATAAGTGAGAACATGTGGTATTTCTCTTTCTGTGCCTGGCTTATTTCACTTAATATAATTTTCTCTAAGTCCATCCATGTTGCTGTGAATGGCACTATTTCATTCTTTTTTATAGCTGAGTAGTATTCCATTGTGTAGATATACCACATTTTCCATATCCACTCATATGATGATGGACATTTGGGCTGGTTCCAACTCTTAGTTATTGTAAATAGTGCTGCAACGAATATTGGAGAACAGGTATCCCTTCGACTTGATGATTTCCATTCCTCTGGGTATATTCCCAGCAGTGGGATAGCTGGGTCATATGGTAGATCTATCTGCAATTGTTTGAGGAATCTCCATAACATTTTCCATAAATGCTGCATATTTTGCAGTCACACCAACAGTGTATGAGAGTTCCTTTTTCTCTGCAACCTTGCCAGCATTTATCATTCTCAGTCTTTTGGATATTAGCCATCCTAACTGGAGGGAGATGGTATCTCAGTGTGGTTTCGATTTGCATTTCGCCGATGCTGAGTGATGCTGAGTATTTTTTCACGTGTCTGTTGGCCATTCGTTTATCTTCCTTTGAAAAATGCCTATTTAGCTCCTTCACCCATTTTTTAATTGGGTTACTTGATTTTTGCTGTAAAGTTGAGTTCCTTGTATATTCTGGATATTAATCCTTTTTCAGATGTATATTTTGCCAATATTTTCTCCCACTCTGTTGGTTGTCTTTTAACTCTGTTAACTTGTTTCTTTTGCTGTGCAGAAGCTTTTTAGTTTGGTGTAATCCCATTTGTTTATTTAACCTTTGGTTGCCTGTGCTTTGGGGGTCATATTCATGAAATCTGTGCCCAATCCTACTTCCTGGAGTGTTTCACCTATGTTTTCTCTAAGGAGTTTTATTGCTTCAGAGTGTATATTTAATTCTTTAATCCATTTTGAATTGATTTTGGTATATGGTGAGACGTATGGGTCTAGTTTCATTCTCCTGCATATGGATATCCAGTTTTCCCAGCACCATTTACTGAAGAGGCAGTCACTTCCCCAGTGAGTGAACTTGCTACCTTTGTCAAAGATAAGATAGCTGTAGGTATATGGGTTGACTTCTGGATTCTCTATTGTATTACGTTGATCTGTGTGTCTGTTTTTATGTCAGTACCATGCTGTTTTGGTTATTATAGCTTTGTAGTATACTTTAAATTCAGGTAGTGTTATGCCTCCAGCTTTATTTTTATTGCTCAGAATTGCTTTGCTACTCATGGTCTTTTGTTATTCCATATAAATGTTAGGATAGTTTTTTTCCAATTCAGAGGAAAATGTCATTGGAATTTTGATGGGGATTGGATTGAATTTGTATATCACTTTGGGTACTATGGACATTTTCATAATGTTAATTCTTCAAATCCAAGAGCTTGGGTTATCTTTCCATTTTCTTGTGTCCTCTGTAATTTCTCTCAACAGTGGTTTGTAGTTCTCTTCACAGAGAGTTTTCACATCCTTGGTTAACTTTATTCCTAAGTATTTCATTTTTTGGTGGCTAATGTAAATGAGATAGCTTTCTTGATTTCTTTTTCCACATGTTCACTGTTGAAGTATAAGAATGCTGCTGATTTTTGTGTGTTGATTTTGTATCCTGCAACTTTGCTGAAATCATTTATCAACTACAAGAGTTTTTCAGTAGAGGCTTTAGGCTGTTCAATATAAAGGATCATGTCATCTGTAAACAGAGACAGTTTGACTTCATCTTTTCCAATCTGGATACCCTTTATTTCTTTCTCTTCTCTGATTGCTCTGGCTAGTACTTCCAACACTATGTTGAATAGGAGTGGTGAGAGTGGGCATCCTTGATAGTTCCTGTTCTTAAGGAAAAAGCTTTCAGCTTTTCCCAATTCAGGATGTTATTGGCAGTGGGCTTATCATATATGGCTTAATTATGTTGAGACACTTTCCATCTATACATAATTTGTAGAGAGTCTATATCATGAAAGAATGTTGAATTTTACAAATGCTTTTTCAGCATCTATAGAGATGATCATATGGTCCTTGTGTTTGATTTTATTGATGTGGTGTATCATATTTATTGATTTGTGTATGTTGAACCAACTTTGCATCCCTGGGATGAATTCCTCTTGACCATGGTGTATAATTTTGCATATGTATTGCTTTGTTTTGTTAGCTAGTATTTTATTGAGGATTTTTGCATCTATATATATCAAGGATATCAGCCTGTAGTTTTCTTTTTTAGTTGTATCTTTACATGGTTTTGGTATCAAGGTGATGTTTGCTTCATAGAATAAGTTTGGGAGAATGGCCTCTGTTTCAATCTTATGCAATAGTTTGTAGAGAATTGATATCAATTTCTCTTTGAAGTTTTGGTAGAATTCTGCAGTGAACCCATCTGGTCCTGGGCTTTTCTTTGTTGGGAGCCTTCTGATAACAGCTTCAATCTCTTTTATTGTTATTGGTTTGTTCAGACTTTCTTCATCTTTTTGGCTCAGTATTGGTAGTTTGTGTGTGTCCAGAAATTTATTCATTTCCTCCAGATTTTCAAATTTGTTGGCATATAGTTGTTTATAGTAGTCTCTAATGATTTCTTGTATTTCTGATGTATCAGTTGTAATATCACTTTTTTCATTTCTAATTTTTGTTATTTGGGTCTTCTCTCTTCTTTTTTAAGTTAGCCATGCTAATGGCTTGTCAATTTTATTTGCTTTTTCTACAAAACAACTTTTTGATTCATTGATTTTTTTGTATCATTTTTGGGGTTTCTATTTCATTGCATTCTGCTCTGATCTTAATTATTTCTTTCCACCTGCTAACTTTGGGTTTGGATTGTTCTTGTTTTTCTAGTTCTTTATAGTGAAGAGTCAGGTTGTTTACTTGCCATCTTTCCATTCTTCTGAAGTAAGCATTTAATGCGATACATTTTCCCCTCAAGTATTCCTTTTGCAGTATCCCCCAGGTTTTGGTATGATGTATCAGTATTTTCATTAGTTTCAGGAAATTTTTTGATTTCCTGTTTAATTTTTTCTTGGACCCATATGCCATTAAGTAGAATGTATTTAATTTCCATGTGTTGGTATAGTTTCCAGAGTGTCATTTGTTATTGATTTCTAATTTTAATCCATTGTAATCAGAAAAAATACATAGAATAATTCCAATTTTTAAAAATTTGTTGAGACATGGTTTGTGACCTAACATGTGGTCTCTCCTGGAGAATGTCCCATTTGCTGATAAGAAGAATGAATATTCTGTGGTTGTTGAATGGAATGTTCTGTAGATATCTGCCAAGTCCAATTGGTCTAAAGTGTTGTTTAGATCTTTATTTTTTCTCTGCTGATTCTTTGTCTAGATGATCTGTCCAATATTGAGAGTGGGGTGTTCAGGTACCCTAATATTATGGTATTAGTGTCTATCTCATTCTTTAGATCTAATACTGTTTGCTTTATAAATCTGGCTGCTCTGACATTGGGTGCATATATATTTATGATTGTTATGTCTTCTTGATGGATGAATCCTTTTATCATTATATAGTGGCCTTTGTCTCTTTTTATGGTTTTTGATTTAAAGTCTATTTTATCAGATATATGAATAGCTATTCCAGCTCATTTTTCATTTCTATTTGCATGGCATATCTTTTTCCATCCTTTCACTCTTAGTCTATATGTGTCTTTACAGTGAGGAGAGTCTCTTGAAGGCAGCATATAGTTGGGTCCTCCTTTTTAATCCAGTCAGTCAATCTGTGTCTCTTGAGTGGGGAATTTAGTCCTTTTACATTAAGAGTTGTTATTGAAAAGTGTCAATTTACTCCTAGCATTTTATTGATTTTTGTTTAGATGTCTTAAGTATTTTTTGTTCTTTTCTTTCTGATTTACTGTTTGTCTTTGGTAATTGTTGGTTTCTTGGGGTGGTAGATAAATGTTTTTTTCTCTTCATTGTTAGCATTTTTATTTTACTAGTGAGTTTGTTTTTTCTTGAGTATTTATGGCAGTGGTGGTTGTTTTTCAGGTACCAAACCCAGTACTCCCTTGAGAATTTCTGGTAAGGGTAGCCATGTTGTAGTGAACTCCCACAGCTTTTGTTTGCTTGAGAAATATACTATTTGCCCTTCATTTCAGAAGGATAGCCTTGCTTGGTAATGTATTCTTGGCTGGCAATCTTTGTCTCTTAGTATTTTGAATATATCATTGCATTCTTTTCTGGCTTTTAGGGTTTGTGATGAAAAGTCTGATATTAGTCTGATTGGGGATCCCTTATAGGTCACTTGACGCTTTTCTCTTGAAGTTTTTAAGGTTCTCTCTTTGTCTTTGAGTTTTTCCAATTTGACTATAACATGTCTTGGAGAGGACATTTTGGGTTGAATATGTTCGGGATCTTTGTGCCTGCTGAATCTGAAGATCTGTGTTTTTCCCTATACCTGGGAAGTTTTCTGCCATTATTTTATTGAATATGTTTTCTATGACATTTCCTTTTTCCTCCCCTCTGGAATACCCAGGATTCAGATATTTGAGTGCTTAAGGTTATCTGTTATGTCTCTTAGATTTTCTTCAATGTTTTAAATTCTTTTTTCTTTTGTTTTTGTCTGCCTATGTTATTTCAAACAGCCCATCTTCGAGGTCAGAAATTCTCTCTTCTGCTTGTCCTAGCCTGCTGGTTAAACTCCCTGTTGTGTTTTTTATTTTGCTGAATGAATTCTTCAGCTCCCCAAGCTCTGCTATATTCTTTCTCAGTGCATTGATTTCTTTGTACATTTCTCCTTTCAGGTTCTATATACTTTTTCTCATTTTATTGTGTTGTCTAACTGAGTTTTCTTGTATCTCACTTAGTTTTCTTAGAATTATCACTCGAAATTCCTTGTCAGTCATTTCAAGGACTTCCTGTTCAATAGGATCTAGAGCTTGAGAGTTGTTATTATTACCCTTTGGTGGTATACTTTCTTGATTTTTTCTATTTCTGTTATCTTTCCTTTGGTGTTTACTCATTGTGGCAGAGGATTCCACAGTCCACTCATTCGACCCTAATGTCCGTCTAGGATCTTGCCTGGACTGCCTGTTTGGCAGGCTGCCTCGGTGCCTGTGGGTGGGGGGCTTGGGCCTCTCTGGGCTGTGGTGACTGGCCTGGGCTGGGAGTCTTGCAGTGGTGCCTACCTGTTCTGACACGGGTGGTTCAGGGCCTTATGGGCGTGGTGGCTTTAGGGCCTCTCTGGGTGGTATGCACTGGCCTGTGCTGGTGGTCCCATGGCAGCACCTACCTGGTCTGGCGTGGGTGCCTCAGTGCGTTTGCGGGCCTGGCAGCTCTCGGGGCCTCTCTGGGGTCCCTCTCTGGGCGGCATGCACTGGCCTGGGCTGGGGGTGTCCTGCGGCCTCTTATATTATTTTTTTCAATGGAACATCTTCTTTGGGTTTGTACCTTTTGTTACACACTTTTTATTTTGGGGAAATCTATAATAAATCTTGCTTTCGAATACAAAGGATGGCTTGGATGCTCCAAACTCCTCATCAGAAAATGTTTTAATCAAAACACAAAGATTTCACACTCCTAATTAGCACATTTGCCCTTTTCTATTTTTATGCAATTTAACCAAATATAAAGATAAAAAGAGCTATTGGATATTTCATAAATAGCACTACCTACAGAGTGGAAATATAGAACTGTGGTGATAAATTAAAATTAATTGAGTATCATATATTATTACATGCATTCTGTTAGACTATAATATAAAATTATAATTGTCCATTAACTCTATTAAACTCTAATTAATTAGAAAGACTACATAAATCAAGGCTTCTTCTTCTATGATGAACTATATTGGATAGAGTGCTAATAAAACCAAATATGTGGAGAATATCTTTGAGCATTATTTCTCTCTATCTTTGTTATATCAGTTTTCTTTTTTCCTGATCTTTAGAGCTAATACACTCTGAATTTTTTTGGAGTAGTCAGCACAGGCCTTAATATTTTATATTCTAAAATGACAGGGAATTAATATTTTTACTTCTATTTCATCACAAACATATGACAACAAAGAGAGGTGTTTCCATAGTAATGGCGATTCTCAGTAGGCAAATGATCAAATGTACCTAAACACACTGTTATTACTTAATTCTGGTGCCTGTTATTATAAGTGAAAAATGTGATTCAAGTTTCAAATGAAAAGCCACACTCTCTCCACAGTGTGCACAGCTGCCTCTTAGGACAGGGGGCTGTACCAACCTTCTGTGGAATCTGGGCGAGGGCTGAAGCGATGAGATCACTTTTTTCTTCTGTGAGATTTTGGACCAATGACCCTAGAGAAAATACCACAACCCCATCTTCACCTGAGCTCTGGACAAATTCTTCCATTTCCTGCAGAGAAAAAATTCTCTGCATTACAAAGGTGCAGTATCACAGGGAATGAAATAAAGTTCATTTGCACTTCTAAAATGAAGATTCGAGGGAGTTGGTAGACACAGACTATTTCTATATTTTGATGTGTAAAGCCACATAGTCTGTTTAGAAGGAAGTCTGTGCATGAAACATATGACCTTAAATACATAATCTTTGTTTACTAGAAGAAACACACAACCAAATCATTACACACAAAGATTAAGTGAATAAAGTACAGCTCTTTTTATGTTTGGTGGACACCAAATTCTAAAAACTGAGTGGTTTACCAATTCCTGAAAATATTCCTTGAAAGGAAGCTCCAAAATGTTTGTGAAATAAGCTTCTGAAATGACTAGCACACAGTTTCTATCTAGTAAATCATTACTGTGTTAATCTACCCCCCTTTTAGGTATGGCTTATGTAATAATTTTCTTGTCTGTGTGTGTGTATGTGTGTAAAGATGGAGTGTGAGGATAAAGAGTACTTTGGCATGGGAGATTATCTAGAGAACCATGGAAATTGTTACCTGTCTTACTATATGTCTAGTTAGATAAAGGTTTGTTATGCCATGGCTTATTAGATATTGGTTTGCAACTATAACGTGACTGGTAAGAAAAAGGATATTCATAATTCTGAAATAAAATTTCACTCATCAATACATATCTTACTATAAAAAGAAATCGATAATGAGGTTGTTCACTAAGATAAAAAAGTAGCCTGTGAAAAGCACATTGTAAACATCTATGACTAAATATCCTGGTGCCCTGTTAGAGCAAGGACAGAGTTTATAGCCATTTTTGGAATAGAGGCCTGAAGACCAACTAAGAAAAAAAGTATAACAGGTAACTATAATTCATTTTTGCTTCTCAGAACTGTTTCTTCCAACATCCCTGGCACTCCACATTTTTTTTTTTAAGACCTAGATTATGGCGTACATTTTTTTTTTTTTCACTCCAAAGAAACTTTTCATTAGGTAGGTAAAGAACTGACCCAACCTTTGAGTCTCTCATTTCTAAGAGCTCTTCTTTATGCTGCTTACTCTCAATATATCTATTGCTGTCTGCTGAGATTGAGACTTTGTATTACCCAAGTGCTGTGGATTGGTTGTCCCTCCAAACTCATTGAGTCTTGGTCCCCGCTGTGACAGTATTAAGAGGTTGGGATAATCCTACTGTGGTAGCTGAAAGGTTGGTTGAGGTGATTATATTGTAAGGATCATGCTGTAGTAAATGGATTAATCCAGTGATGGTTTAATGGTGGTCATGGGCATGGTTTTGAGGGCTTTAAAAGGAGAGCTAATGAGGAAGTTAATCGCTCTCTCTCCATTTCTGTCATCCACCATGTGTCACCCTGCTTTGCTGTGAAGAATCACTACCCACCAACAAGGCTCTTACCAGATGTGTTCCCTGGACTTCTCGGCCTCTGAAATTGTATGCAATAAATGTTGTTTCTTTATAATTACCCAGTTTCAGGTATTTTTGTTGTAAACAACAGAAATAGACTAATACACCAAATGATCTCTAAAAAACTCCACCTGAAAGTCCAATTGGCTTCTCTAAGTGGATAGTCGGTATGGTATTAAACTCATGATAGTCGGTATGGTATTAAACTCATGGTATTAGTGTTAATCTCAAACAAGTTTCACCTCTAAGTGTTTCCTATTTCAGTAGAAGCCATCACTCAAAATGGAAATCCAGTCTTCCCCAATTTATTCTCTTCCCTCAACACTTATTTCCTGCAATCCACTAAATCCTGGGGAATGTACCCCAAAGCATTTCGTGAAATAATGTTTATTTCTCTACCATCAAGATAAATGCCCTTGTTCATAAACCCATCATGCTTGTTAGGAAGACTACAGCAGTATCCTTAGTGATCTTCAGGGTTCTAATTTTCCGTCTCTCCAATCCATTATTCACACTATAGTAACACGGATATTTTAAGATGCACTTCAGTCATATCACTCTTCAGCCTAATTTCTCAATATAATGGACAAAAACCTTATATAGCACACATAAGAACCCCTGTGACATGAAAAAGGAATATAAACTGGCAAACTGAAGATGTTCAGCATCATGTTTCTATTATTAAAGTTGTAATCATTCAAAGAAAAGCAGGTATCCTATCATAAAGTACACAAAATATCTTGATGTAATATTCCTACCTCAGGTAAAGGTTTGGCAGGTTTGCAGTGCAATCCTCCAACAAATTCAAAATTAGGTAGGTATGGTCGAGGAAATTCAAAATCCCAATATGTTCGGATTAGCCAAATTTCAGCTTTCCCCAGAATCTCACATATTGTAGTGGGCCTTCCTGGAGGAGACAAATAACAATTGGATGGAGGAAATTAGCACATAACGAATGAGAAAATTACACCACTAACTTTCTGATAAGCTATGGAGGGAAAAGTAAATTTAGGTAATCTAGGATAGTATTGCTTCTAAATGTCAAATGGAATGTGATGGAGTTTGGATGTGTTGTCCCCACCAAAACTCATGTGGAAATTTGATCCCCAATGTGGCAGTGCTGGAAGCTGTTTGAGGCATGGGGGCAGATCCCTCATGAATGGATTAATGCTCTCCCTGGGGGAGGAGGGGTCTTGAGTGAGATCTTGCTCTATTAGTTCCTGCCAGAGCTAGTTGTTAAAAAGACCCTGGCACCTCCTCTCTCTTGCTTGCTCTCTTGCTTCCTCTCACCATGTGATCAGCTTGTACCCACCAGCTTCCTGTCACTTTCTGCCATGAGTAGAAGCAGCCTGAGGCCTGTGCCAGATGCAGCTGTCCCAGAATTGTAAACCAAATAAACCACTTTTCCATATAAATTACCCAGTGTGGGGAAAATAGAAAAATTTACTCAGGCTCCCTCGACATTTCTTGCAAACAAGTTGTGTGTAGGTGGAGTTAGTGCCCATATGCACCCATGTATCTTTCTAGTTAATTGCTGTTGTCTGTTCTTCAGAGTTAGAGAAGCCTGGCCAGCAGAGCCCGAGTCTAAACATAGAGCATGTTTACTCTGCTAGCAGCTGCTCAGTTTCAGTTTGTCTTTGGACTTTGCCAGTAGCAGTTGAGTTTCTGAATTTCTCCTTTGTACTGCCTAGCTTGTAGTGTTGTGTGTGCTGAATAAAGACTATTCCTACTTCAGCCAAGGCTCCAGGGACTGTTTTGTCCAGTTACCTAGCTCGTAGACCTGAGGATAAAGGCTTTTTGAATGGGCTTGAGGGATCTGTGAGCTTCAGGCCCTAGCCCTAGCTCTACACCCAGTCTCGGGTATTCCTGTGATAGCAACACAAAATGGACTAACACAGAAGGGGACATTAATGCAATAACAAAGAAGGGAAGAAAGAAAGAAAGAAAGAAAGAAAGAAAGAAAGAAAGAAAGAAAGAAAGACACTTGTGTGTAAGTATATATATATATATTCACAACATAAAATTTTAACCACAACACCCAAATACAAGTGAATTTATTCCTTATTTTTTTTTCTCTAAATGAATTGCAGATGATAGAATAGCTTCACAATACTTTCACCAAATCATCTCTCAGTGGTTCCTAGTCTAGAATCAGGGATATGTTTTTGCAGGATCTCACCAGTGTTGGTCTATCTTAACCTCCTGTATTACATTCCGTCATTTCAATTGATGGGCCACTATTTTATTAGTAGGAATTCCTTGACTGATTCATACTCATATTGACCTCCTCTTTGGGTTGTGAGGTTTGCATACACATACTACGACTATCACATACTTTAGTGTCACCTTCCAATGATGTGTTTCGAAGGGGTGCACATTTTAAGTATCAACTTCAGGTTTTAAGCAGAATATTGACAAATTGTAAATAACCAAGTCAATAATTTCTATTTACAAGATAGGTTGGGTAAAAGGCACAAAGAAAAATCATGATTTGTAATAATGAATATGCTAATAAAATATAATTAAAATGTTTTGCATCTTCTCAATGAGATAACTCAGATGAGAATCCTTTTCTCTTTAGGATTCTAATTAAAGTTGGTGTTGATGTACATCACAGGTGGAAAACCTCTTTTTTGGGCCATCACATTTTGGTGATTGTAGTCACATACAAGGTCGCAAAGCCCAATGCTTTTTATTGATAATGAAGAAGTTTTACTGAAAACGTACAGTTTAAAATTGCCAGAAATTAGATTAGAACCATCTCTCAACTTCCAAGCAAATGTGTTTATGTCCTTTAGATGCTCTGTTCATTTTGCCCCACAACTGCCTGGATTACCAACCTCTAGGTGATTTTAATTTAGGCCTCATTTAGGAAAGACTCAAGCAATTAAAGGAATTCTATATTTAAAGGGCTAATTCACAATTACAAGTACAGGAGTGATCAAAGAAAAGTGAATGAAAGTAAATTTAAGTATGCAAACTAAATAAATACGGCAAGGAATTAAAAATAAGTCAAATAAGTGTACATCAGTGAAGTTAAAAATCTTCTTTCTTTTACTCAACAAGACCCCAAATCTTTTAGAGTTTTTTAAGTAATTTGTCAACTTTTTATGTGGCAATCATCCGAGAATTTAAAGTATCCTAGAAAATGTTTCAATATAATCAACCATGATGAAACTGTCTAAAGAAGACATTCTGAAGACTCTTTGGAAATTTATGAGAGAGGAAGAATGATGGGCGCCTTGTTTCAGTAGATACGGTATAAAGTTAAATGTAAGAATCAGTTATTTTCAAAAATGTGTGGTACAGATTTGGGTGATTTAAAAAAAGTACCAAATATAATCTTTTTATTAATACTGATCATATTTCTGTTTATTACTGGTGTTAGGAAAGTAGGTTGTGTCACTCTAATATATTATACACCCTTTAGCAAGAACAGCTACAACATTCTGTAATATAAAAACTTACTATACTGGTCTTATATGCAATATACTACATATAACAAGAATATTTTTATATTTTTTATAACTAGATTAAAAGGCAGAGTATCTTACCTAATGCTTCACTGTAAAACTGCTTCCAAAAATGAAAGTCGTAATCCTGCATCCAGAAGTTGAAGAAAACTAAAAGCATTGTATTTTTCACTCTTTCTAGAAAGGTCATTCTGTCTGTTAGTCCCACCATAGGCACAGGTACGTAGGAAGGTGGAGCTGGAAGTTTCCCACAGCATCTCTCCATATTGCCTCCCACAGAAACTCTAAGTGTGATCACAAAAGGGACTGCAAGCAGTTCAGCCACTAGTTCCCCACAGGGTGTCACAGGGTCTATAATCATTATGTCATAGTTGGCTTCCAGCAGCTTCTTCATGAGTGTCTTATTGTAGACTACACTTTCACAGAGAAGTTTAAAATTACCAGTCAATCCAATAAAAAAATCATTCAATTTTATTGCTGATTGCCAAAATGGTAAGCTTGGCAAGACATTAAGAATCAGATTTAAAAGTTCATCACTTTTATCCTCTGTATTCTTTCTGTCAAATGGCACATGGAACACCTCGAAGTTCAGTGCAGAAGGCTTCCTGTGGTCAATGAGGATAGTATATGAAGGACTCATCACTGTTACTTCATGGCCCCTGTCTGCGAGTTCATCCAAAATGTTCTTGATATTAAGCCAGTGGCTCATGTCAGAGGGCCAGACCAGAGCCTTCCCACAGAGTCCACAGCCGGCACAGCAGAGCTGCAGCAGCAGGAATGCAGAAGCCCACTTCTCAGACACCATCATGGCAGCTCCCTCACACTTGTTCAGCAGAGGCTGTGTTTATTGGACACAGAGTTCAAATGGCAATTTAGACAGAAAAGGAGTTAAAAATTAATTTTTAAAGGCAAAACGTCATTGATTGCTTATGTAAGGAAAGTAGGAAAAGTTTATTCAGGATCTCTTGCCTTACATCTGTTACAAATCTGTGCAAGATTCACCACATTCATTAGAAACAAGTTATAAGAGTAGTGTAACTGTGCATGTGTGCCCATTTACTGGTTCAGCAGGATTGTTACGATTATATGATGCTTGGCCTGTGGCCACTATTTGTAAGATTTAGGATGAATCCCAACCTCACATAGAACGGGAAGACTCGCCTCGAAGAGACCACAAGACCACAAGCAATGCAAACGGCATGAGGTTTATTATTTCCAACACGTTGGGTTCTCACCGCCAAGCTGGGGTGAGACCCCGTCAGGCTTTTTAGCTGTCTTTTTATACATTTTTTTAGGGCGGTTTTCTTGGCAGCCAGGAGACAAAGCAATAAACAGTATTCATTGGTTAACTTGAGTGCCCTTAAGGCCCGTTGGAGGGCGCCCCGCCTGTTCGTAGGTGATTTCCCTTTTGATTTCCTATCTAATAAACATTGGGCCACCTGTAGGTTAGCTTTGTTTTTAAGATTTCTGAATACTTCTGCAGTTTGCAGTTCAGCGGTCACAGGCTTGTGCTAGCGTTAGCAAGTAAACCACAGACTGTCAGCTCTGAGCTTTTCCTGTGACAGACTGCCAGCTCTGAGCTCTTCCTGTGCAGAGGAGAGGTTGGCCGGCTCTCGGCGACCCCTCCTCATGTAACCACATACCTAGCTTTTCTTACCCAGGTGTGAGGTGACCCCTCACCCAGTGGCCCTATGAAAACATGTTTTTCGTGGAAAGTTCCAAGCTCTTCAGCGACCTGTTAACTTTAGCTTTAGCTCCTGCAGCTCAGCTGTGCTCTGGGGTGCAAAACATCCTGTGCATCTAGCAGGTCCTAAGAACGGGGGGGGGGGGGGTCTGGGGTGCAAAACATCCTGTGTGTCTAGCAGGTCCTAAGAAGAGGGGGAGTAGAGTATGCCCCTAGGCATAACAGCTTTTAAGATGGCTTTACTGTAGCTAAGTTAGAGCAAGCTAGGTGTACAGAAGCAGATTGCACGAGTTAGTATTCTTCATTTCCCCCTTTTCTTATGTACAAATTTTAATCATTAAATTTTGGTTTTCTGTTGGCTTAGTACTTGATACTGTTGTTTTAACATCATGATTTGAACAGTATTTATATGATTTTTGACAAAATTTAACATACGGTTTAAAACACATGGACTAAAAGTTAACAGTAACATTATAATTATTAGAGGCCCGAGCAAGGTGGATATCAGGGTGGTGAGCCACGGGGAAGCATTAAACCAGGATTTAAACCAACTCTCTGATGTCAGCATCTATGGCTGCTTGTAACCCCTGGAAATTTTGATGCTGAATTACAAGAGCCGAGGCTCCTGTGGCTGCCCCAGCTGTTCCTAGTCCTAGGCCTAAAAGGACAGAGAGCGTGATGCTTAGGGGCTCCCATTTAGTAGGGCAGCCTTCGGGGTCCCAGCTGGCCAGCAGACTTTCATAGGGGTAATAAACAATTCTAGGCATTAACTGGATTAAGACACAGTCGTCCCTGGCTGAGCTTAGGACTTGCAGATTTATACAGGGCATAATCCCAGTGGAGCAAGCCCACCATCCTTCAGGAGGGGGCACTAGATACAAGTCACTGGACCACTGGGTTACGTTTAGGGTCTGATTGCACAGATGACTATGTGAAGAGGGAACTGATCCTACACAGGTTCTCATTCCTGTAACTGCTGAGAGGGTGAGTTTATATACATCTGGAAATAAGTCAGGCCACCAGCGTTTTGGAGTTACTTTGGACTGACTTTAGACAATGTCCCCTACCCCATTAATAACATACCAAGTGAAGTTTTTAAGGGGCATGGGGGCTGTAAGCTTTAAAACTTTGGAGGGAGACAACAAAGCAAAGCAGAAATACATGAATTTTTATCTTACAGTTTTCTGTGGGACCGGGTGATTTTTAACTGTAAGGATTGTCCTTAGAAGCATGGAGTTTCCAGGTGGTGCCGTCGTCTGTGTTGTGGTCTCTGGGTGGTGTGGATCTAGGCAGAAATCCCGTCCACCTTGACAGCTGTCGGGGTTGTCAGGAGCACCAGGTAAGGTTTTTTTCCATCAAGGCTCCAGCGAGTGGGGGTGGTGGCGCCTCACGTAGACAGAGTCCCCAACCTGGAACTGGTGAGAGACGTCGGGGAATCCCAGACAGCCTTTTGCACTTCTTGTAGCCCTTTTAACCTAGCATATAAATTATGGTTACGGCGGCATGCAGACCAGAGCCCCAAAATTGCGGGGGCAAACGTGTCCCCCAGCAAGGTTAAGGGTGCTGGGGCACCATAGAGAATTTCAAAGGGGGTTAGGTTGAGCTGGGAGGGGGTATTTTTGACCCTAAATAAGACTAGAGGGAGGAGCACCACCTAGTTTGCGCCAGTCTCCATGGTTAATTAAGCCAGTGTCTTTTTTAGAGTTTTATTTATCCTTTTTACCTGTCCTGAACTTTGGGGCCTGTATGCACAATGTAATTTCCAAGTGGTCCCCAAAAACCTGGCCACTCCCTGACTTACCTGGGCAACGAAGGCAGGTCCGTTGTCAGACCCGATTACCTTAGGCACTCCGAAGCGTGGGAAGATCTCTTCTAGGATTTTTTTTTTTTTTTTTTGACCACAACGGAGGCAGTTTCTTGTTTTGTTGGGAAGGCTTCTACCCATCCTGAAAAGGTGTCTATGAAAACTAGGAGATATTTATAACCATATTTACCAGGTTTGAT